ACAATAAGTAGAATAAAGAAAGTAATAATAATTATCAAATGAAGAAAGATAAAACTTTATATGACTAGGGTGGGTGAACTCCATCTCAGGATTAACCCTCCATTAACGTCTTATATTAATATTTAGAAGCAACGACCTATCATAATGTTGGTATAATCGTAATCTATTTTGTCCATTTCGTTATCAATGGCCTCTCTGAATTTCGCACAAGATAGTGTAAATGCTTCGTGTTCTCCTGAGCAAGTGGGACACTTTAATGTCATCGATTTACACATCTTTCTGCTGTGGTGAAGACTACAGCGAATACAAACAGGCTGAGCTTTCCTACATTTGAAATGTCCTAAACGGCCACAGGTATAGCATCTTTTTATGGCAAAATGATCCACTACTTCATAGTGTGTATCCAACCATACCTTGCCTTGTTTTCTTTCTGTAATATAACTTCTTATCTGTGGGTCGACTTGAATGATTAGCGAAACATAAGGGGAATTCCGTACTTGATGAGTACCACAAAATTCAAATTTGTGTTTAAGAAATTCTTTGAAATTGAATCTGTGAATGTCTTTGACCATTTGTTGTGGGTCCGAAAGTTTCTCCCGCCGTACAGATATCTTTATCTGTGGGAATCTGTGAGTAGCGACTTGTGCTTTTAGTCCAGTAACATCGTTTGTAATTATGTCAATGATTGTGTCTCTACCTTGTTGTGTAGTGAGAACCAGTAGAGTATATTTATCCGTTCGGTGAAAACGTTTGACATCTCCAAAAGTCTTTTTGGTTATCATTAATATGTCCTTGACACAATCATGGTGGTAGTCAGGTCCATCAATGTATACGCCATACCCGGCTGGACTAACAGAAACCCAGTTCACGATATGAGATTTCGGATTAATTTCCCATTGTTTGCGGATGTTTAGTGGTTTTGTAATGCAATATGTATTGTTTGATCTTGCCGATCGGTCCAGAGCTGAGTCTTGTTTCGGATTTCCATTCAGTATTTCTAATTGAGCGTTGGAAGAAATTAATGAATGGTTTATCTGCACGTCTGGTGTAGAGCTTTGTGGCTCTCTAATTACCGACGTCCCTGGCTGTTCAGTTACATTAGATGCTGAACTTGTAGTCGAATAAGGAACTATTGCCAAGTTGTTTTGAGTAGGTTTCGTCTTCTTTGTTAGTGTTTCAGTCGGGTCTGTACTCGATCTCTTATTAACCTCTAGTGTTTGTATTTTAAGTCGCCATCTGACAATTTCCAATAATTTTTTGACCTTCAACGCCATTTCATCATCGTAAGTTGATGGAAGAACCGTTTGATTTTCCAGTATCATTGTAACTATTCTTCGTATTTCCTTGATTTCTTTTCTATCCCAGATTTAATCAACATTTGAGTTGTTGTTGGCGGTCTTTTGCCCATTGTTTTGTCCAGAAGTTTTTCAACTGCGTGATGTCGTTTTCAGTGAGAGTGTCATCGGAGAACATCATTTCAGATTTATCCTTTGCTCCACTCTCTCTAGCTTTGACATGCCAGTTTTCTACCGCTTGTAGTTTGTCTATGAGAAGCAGCAATCCTGCTGGTAGAAGTTTCTTTTTCGGGGCATTTAGCGGATGATCAATTTTCTGTAGCATCTCATGAAAAGCGACAATGTCTTGTTGGAATTGTAATGAAACCAACTGTTTTATCTCGTCGTGTGTATTTCCTACACATACTGTGGATAGAAAGTTTTCCAATCCTTCCCATTGTGCTTCTGAATAAGCTGGTGCTAGGTTTTGAGTATCCTCCAGCATAGTTGAGTTAGAAGGTATTCCGTTATTAAAGTCATCTTGTGCCATGTCGGTTAATTCCCCTTCTTCGTTGTCTGAACTGTTAGGAAATTTCCACTTCATAGCGTCCAATAAAAATTCCAGGTCCTTTCTCATGTTTTCTGACATCGGGACCTTTTTCGGGTCAGCCATTTTTATCTTAGAAATAATGCTCTTGTATTCATCGATTTCTTTTGACTTGTATGTGTTAACCAAATTATGAGTCTCTTCAGGAGTGTTACCTGTGCACGTGTCCTGGAGAAAACCATCCAATTTAGTTATCAATTGTCTGGAGAAGCTTATTTCAGAGTTATCCGTCGACATATTGAACTAATAATAAAAATACAATGGTAGAAATAATGTTTCAAACATTCAAATTAATAATCTAAATTACATTAAAGCGTAAGACCACGTGGGAACCACATTGGAATCACAGTTCATGGATTTATATAATCTGTTATTAAGCTGATTTCTGGGAAATCAAGTATTTTGGGTTCACTCACCTGTAGAAATCTTTCTCTTGTATTTTGATAAGAATTTAAGTAATATAATTTGTTAATTTATCGAAAATTAATTTAAGGTTAAAATCACGCTGTTGAGAAGACAAACGAGAAATGAAACTGAATCCAAGATTTGGGATTTGGATCCATTCACAAGTCAGTCTCACTGTGAGTCAGTGGTTTTCATTGGCTGATACTGACTTGTGAGTAAACAGAGTAGAGTAAGGGAAAAATTTTAAAGTACATTGCGATAAGCTTTAATTATAATTTCTTAATTGTCAATTAGTGGTCATGGCATTTTTTCATCACTTAAATCAACAAAGAGAAAGAAAATGTGATAAAAACGTTTAGAGAGGCAATTGTGAGTCAAAAGTTTGGTGCAAACGAGTAAAAATACAAATGATTTCGATTTAAATTATAAATTCAATTTTAATGACGATTTAAGCTGAGTAGGTAAATCCTTTGGACGGCAATTTTCATCAATTTATCCTCCTATTTTGAATTCGATAGCAGGTGAAGACATTTTACCATCACCACCAGAACTATAAGCGAGAACACGAAGTTTATAAGTTTTACCAGGAATCAAGCCAGAAATTATGACGTTTAAATCTTCACTCAGATCTTCGAGGAACTTGTAAACTTCTTTAGCTGATTGGATCTTTTGATCACTTTCCCAGTAGCGAACTTTATAACCATTAATCGGCTCCTCATCTGATGATGCATCTACACCACGCCAAGTAACTTGAACATAACCTGAGTCAATTGCTTTAACTTTTACATTAGTTGGTGCTCTTTGAGGGGCTGCTTTGAATGTTCGAGCGATTGCAGGTTCACTTTCAGGTCCAGATCCAGCTTCATTGTAGGCCATAACAGAAACACTGTATTCTGTTTGAGGCGAAAGAGCAACGATCAGTCCATGGTTATGAGTACCACGATTAAGTAATGTGAGAGCATCTGTTTGAGGATCTTGCCCTGTTCTCCAGTACTTGATTCGATGACCAATCAATTTGCCACGAATCTTTTCTCGAGTAAGCTCGAGAGGAGCCCATGAAACATTGAGTGAAGTTGAATTGAAGGGGAAAGCTGTAACTAAACTTGGTTGAACTTGAGGCATACTTTCAGCTGAATAGACTTCTTTTGGTTCACTAACTGGACCTTCTCCCATTCTGTTGATTGCTTGTACTTTGACCAGATATTTTTCGTAATAATTATTTTCCCCAACATCTATCACATACATTCCAACTTGACTTTGATTCAGCTCTTTAGTTTGATACTCATAATCATTTGGTAGTTTCCAGTAAATTTTGTACCAAATAGAAGGTGAATTCCAATCTTGTGGAGGTAATGGATCCCAAGTTATTGTCAAAGTACCTGCTTTACCTCCTCCTCCACCAACATTTGCTGGTGCTCTTAAGGGCCGACTTTCTCCCGTTTTATATTGTGGACTGGCATCTGATGGTAATCCTGACCCAAGTTCATTCAAAGCAGACACTCTAAACTCGTAAACACTCCAAGGAGATAAATTGTAAACTCGAGCATTGCTCCTGTGATTATCACGGTCAACATAAGTGGCTGAGATATCATCAGCTAATACAATCCAACTTGAATTGTGATTAGTTCTACCTTCAATTTTGTAAGAGAGTATTCTTCTTCCATTAGAAGCACCATCACTCCAGTGAAGCAAGGCAGAGGTTGCATTCAAAATATCAGCTAAAACACCACCTGGAGCATTTGGTGGTCCGTCAACAATTAACTCAGTTGAATAAGCAATTGTATCAACTGCTGATTTTACTAAACAAGTGTAATTTCCAGCTTCTGCAAAAGTGATTCCTCGGATCTTGAGATAACCAGGTTTATTACCGATTGAAAATTTCCATGAGTTATATTGATTTATTTTAATATCATTATGTAACCAAATGAAAGCAATATCAAGTTTTGAATCAGAATTAGCATCACATGGCAGTTGAACTGTATCATTTACTATGGCAACAAGTTTTGGCCTTGGATATTCTGCAAATGACGGGTTTTCGAACACAGTTAGATAGCCTTTTGTTTGATCTCGACCATATTTATTTCGAACGGCACAAATATACCAGCCTTCATCCTCTTTACGAATTTGGTTGAAAGTTAATATTTCAGAGTTAGATCGATATGGCGAATCATTAAATAACCATTGATAAGAAGGGGCTGGTAAAGCTTCGGGTAGGCAAGTGATTGAAAATTTTGAGCCAACAGCAGCATACATGTCTGTTAATGGGTACCGTCGAAATGTTGGTTTTATACCAGAAATCTTTAATTGAGCTGAACTAAATGCATTACCCAATTCATTGTAGGCACGACATTGATACATTCCAGCATCTCTATTAGGATTGGCAGCTTCGATTGTGAGAACATTATTTTCAATTTTAATTCTTTGGTAATCTTCAGGTGGGATAGTATTGGCTCGAAGTTCAACTCCATTTTTGTACCAATTATATTTAACTTCTGGTATTCCAAAAGCATCACAGGTCCAGACTAGATTGGCTCCAACGTCAACAACTTTATCTCTGAGTCCTTGAAGAAACACTGGCAGTGATTGGACTCTGAGAAATGCTGAAGCCTGGATCATACTACCTCCACTTTTGGCTGTACAGCGATATTCCCCTGAATCTTGAACCTTTACTTTAGGTATGATCAATAAACGATTGTGACTTGTGAGTGAAGCACCATCAGGCAACTGTTCAGTAACACCGACTCGACTCCAGTTGTATGATGGAACGGGATAGCCATAAGCAACACATTCAAGGGATACTCGTTGACCTGCTAATGGAGCTTCAGGGAAAATTTTAGGAAAACCAACAGGAAATTGAAGCTTTTGACTGTTAGGAGTCGGGTCAACTCTGAGGTAAAATGACGGACCAGTTCGGCCAGTGGATGAAATGGCACTTTGAACATTACAAGAATAGTTGGCACTATCGACTTCTTCAACTGAAGAAAAGTAAAGGTTACCATCACTGGATACAAAGATTCGTCTATCTTCTCCAATAATGTTAGGGAAAACATTCTTTGTCCAATAAAACATTCCTCTTGGGTGATGTTGTGGTGGATCACAACTCAATGATTTACCCCAATTTGTATTGGCGAAATCGTTAGACCTTGTCAGTTGAAACTGGCCAATATACCCAAAGCTAACTTGCACTGTTTCACTAATAATGCTTCCAAATTGGTTGCTAACCTTGCAATGATATTTTCCACGATCGATCTCTTTCTTTGGATTATGAATAATTAATGTCCCATCAATTTGTGTGTATCTTGGATCAGACAATGGATTAACCAATTCAGAAACAATTTCAGTCTTATTGTAGTTCTCCTTGAACCATTCATAATTTGCTGTTGGATAAGCATCAGCCGCACATCTTAAAGTAACGTAATTAAGATGGTCCCGACCATTGAGATCAAAAATTTGAGATTGTGGTTCTTCAGTAAACCTTGGACCTCTAGGAATCTTGCCTGGGTCAGTTTCATCAACACCAAAATCAATTTGAATGTCTTTCAATTTGACTAAATAGGCTGATTTTTTGCTAATTTCACAAATGTAAGCAGCCTTTTCAAGCTCTCTAATTGTGGTCAAGCCCCATCGGTTTTCAGGTCTAGAAAAGTTGTAAGCAACATATAATCCTGAATCAGTAATAAGTTTAGTATCGAGAGTTATTGGTCTTTCATTGAATATATTTGATCCATCTTTCCAAGTGAAAACTCCCGGTTTATAAGTTTGACTGCCTGAGGTAAACCATTTTTCATGAACAGGGTCGATGTCCTTCAATACCTCAACGATGAGATAATGTTCACTAATGGTATGAACTGATACCAAGTTTGCACCAAAATTTTCACAAAATTGATTTGCTTCGAGCCATGTTAACTTCGGTGAGCGTGTAAAAAGATAGCAAGATTTTCCAAGTGTATACCAAGGACGTGGACAAGTTGAAACCGAACGACTTGAAATCGCAAAATGAAAAAAACAAATTAACAGCAGCGCAAAGTATTTAATAGTTGTTGTTAATTCCATCCTCAGGTTCTGTTGTTTAATCTAAATGAAAAGACGATAAATTCATTAAAAGGTTGAAATGATTGTTGAGAATGTTTATACACATAGATACGAAATATGTTGGGTTTTAATAATTAGAAAAAGAGATATTTGAAAAACTTCCAATGAAGTGAATAAAGGAGAAATTTTTATCAAAGTCGTTCAGATAGTGATTGAATATCTTATAATGTTAGACTAAGT